GTCTTAGTCTTTCAGTGCTCAAAATCAGTGGGCTGTCGACTGCCATCTTTTATCTTAAGGCACTGTAGATCTTTGCACTCTTTTGGGAGTGCCTTGCAGGATTTACTCTCAGCGGCAAAGTCCAGCTGTGTTCCCAGATGAATTAGAGCTCTGAATTCATGGGTTTTTTGCACTAATCCTTTCACTGGCACTTTGAATCAAAGCATCTGAAAGGTGGTAGTACATTTCTTATCAGTCAGGGTAAACACCCCCCTAAGAAGTCTAATCTTCACAAAACTCCCATTCAGTGTTAGCAGGATGCTTGTTATTCACTCAGATACTCTGACACAAAGCCGTTCCACCATTTATTTTACTTCACCCGTGGCATAAAATGGAGAGTCTGGGAGGAGATGGCCGCTTTATCTTGAAGACACAGATGCTCATTCTTAGAGACCTTCCTCTTGGTCTCTGAGCAATTCAGAGCACTAAAAGCAGTGAAGAGCTTCTAGTTTGTGTATTCAGCACCGTATTTCTTTTCAGTATGTGCTTAAGCAGTAATTGTGGCAACTTGTTCTATCCTACAGCAGCACTGGTTAACAGACGCTTTTCAGATCAGTTTTGCAAATACAGCCCAGAGTGTGCAGGCTGCCTGCTGTTCAGCCAATGCAGCTCGGAGGCTGTTAATGTCACAAGAGGAAAAAACAAACAAACCTGGAAGATGATACCTGGAAACATCAACATGAGAAAGAGAGCTCAGACTGTAACCATAAAGCAAGATTGACGGGGAAACAAGCGCAAAGGCCTAGAAGCATTTCTTTCCTGCCCCCCACAAAATGTTTCAAATAAATAATTTTTCTCTCCTTTCAAAGTTACAAAAAAATCTCACAAAGATAAAAATCTGTGGTTTTTGAAGCCCAGCAGCACGGTCCTGTGGCAGTTGTACCCACGTGGAATCAAAACTACCTGCACAATCATATTACAGGTGGACCGGCGAGTTGCTACCTGAAAAATAACCTATTTAAATGTATGAAGGGAAACGAGCTCAATCATGAAGCAGTTTTCAGCTGAGGTTTCATGAGCAACATCGTTTACATTCAGCCTGTTCTTGAACCCGAAAGAGCTCTACGCTAAACTATTGCACTGACCCACCTACAGAGAGACTGACAGGCTCTTTGTTGCAGAGTCAAGCTAGGAAATACCAGAGCTGAGGTTGTCTGTGCAACCTTCATCTCCCCTCCCCATGTGGATGTGTTACAATACGTACTTTAATCCCATAATCCCACAGTCGTTTTCCACTGGCCCCCTGCCTCCTTCAGTGCGGAGGAGGCACAATGCGGCCTTAATGAGCAGATACAAGGCAGTTTGGCTTGTTACTATGCAGTGTGTGACTGTGGACCTTATTCAAGTCCCACTCTCCCAAGTCCTGCTCTGAAAACACAGTGTTTTGTTTCCTCCTCAGCTGTTTCACAGCTTGTCCCACTGGAGTGTCACAGCCCTTAACAGTCACCACCCGTGCACCTTGCAGAGGGTACTTCATGGTTATATTCCCATTTACAGAGAGAGACTAGAAAAAGCAAGCACTTAACATCCGCTCATTCTTGCCGCCCATTCCTGTCGGCATACTGTCCTTTCCTAGCTCCAAAGCCCAGCTCCCTGGGGAGATCTGGCACAGCTGTGAGCCTTCTGCATGTCACTAGATCAGACCCCTGGTGCCTCAAGTCAACCACAACAAGGGAAGGTAAAAGTTAGTGGCCACCTGTGAACAGTCTGGCTTTTAGGTGAGCTCCCAGTATGGTGTAGGAATCCCATCAGAAACTAGGATAGTACCAAGCCCTCCAGGGCAGCTGCCTTCTGCAGATCTTGGTCCTATCCTTCTAGAAAATCCCATTCTAATGTTTTCACCCAAGGTGGCAGGAGGCACTGTGCCAGGGAAGGGGCCCACAGCCCCCTCTGCCCCCTCCACCCCCCGTTAGCTGCCGGAGATTGGGGAGGCAGCAGCAGAGAGCCTGAGTGTACATGAAAAGAAGCGGTGTACGCTGTTGCTCCTCATGTCTCCCTTCTCCGGGATGTGAGTATCCCACAAGTTTGTAATTTGAAAGCACCAAGCTCTTCTTCCATTAGTGGGTCTTCCTCCTTCAAGGACAGCACTCTAGGGGCCAAAATGTTTTGTTGCTACTGTGCTTTGCACATAGCTCCTTATTAGAGCTTCCTCCTCTACTTCCTCCAGCCCTGCCTGTTAATTCTCTGCCCAAGCTCTCAGTCACATTCCTTTTGCCCAGTCCGAGTTTCACCCAGTTCCCAGTCTAAGGATAACTCTTCCATCAGCATCTGGTCCCAGCCTCTTCACCCTCTGCACTTTTTGTCTCAATGTCTCTCCTCTTCCCTCTGTTGCCAGTGCTGCCTGGCTCGGTCCGTCCTGCAGGTTAATAGGGGAGTGCAGCCTGCAGAGCTTTGGGCATCCAGACCTGCTTGACGCCTGTACTAAAGGTCCAGGCAGAGCTTCGACCATCCAGATGTGCTCAGCACAAGTGCAGTACAAGTGCAGGCAGACTGGAAGAACCTTTGCCTTGAAGCAACAGCCCCTGTGGCAATGTAGGAAGCCCAGGCAGTTCCTGTCATTAATTCTGTTGTGTGGGTTCAGGGTTAACGTTCGTGTCCAGCCCCACCGCTGCCCTGTCGCTCGTAGAGTGGCTCTGTCGCAGACGGAGACTTCCGATGTAGGCGGCCGCCTCGCTTCGTTGTCCCCATTACTGGCAAAAACAAATCTAGTGCTTAAAGGTCTAGCACTGTAGGATGGGTTTTGAAATTATTTGTCTATTAAAAGTTCTTGTTTGGGATCTTTTGGCAGTGTAGTTTTGGTCCCATTACCTGGTCACCCAAGGTAGGAGACGAGGAACAGCGTGGCAAGACCGCTGTGCAAGGCAGCCTTCCTTCTCTCTCAGCTACGCAAGGGAAAAGTCAAGTTATTTACAGCCTTGGACCTGCTCCCTAGACTTTGAACTAATGAAGGCTATTTACATGCATTCTTGGCTGAAACTGAGGAAGAAACAGCACTTCCTTTAGCCAAGGCCCAGGGAAAGAAGGAGCCGTGAGAGCCCCCCGCCCCCTCGCAGTTCTGGCAGCTCACTTCACCCAAACCCTGCTGTGGCCCTGCTCCTGGCTGCAACCGCTGCTGAGCAGAGCTCTCCTTATACTGGAGAGGAACTGCTGACAGTCCCAGCACTGTTTGATACTCCTTGAGTGTAAAAGATGCCCTGAAGCCCTGGGGAGAGGGAGCACGTGAGTTACGGCCCGGCTTGCACAGCAGAGGCGTTGCTGGCCTTCTACCAGTGAGGTACCCTGTGATCACGTGGCTTAGGAAAATAATTGCCTTGGCAGTGCTTTTACACCACCAACGCAAATTTCTCTTCTCTAGCTGTGCAGGTGCTTTTTCCAATGTAGCTTTGTGGATTAGGGCAAGCTCTGCTGGTAAGAGTCTGTGGTGTGGGACAGACAGGACTTACCCAGAATAAGCGAGTAGCTAAGACTAATTTTAGATTTGGCAAGGCTACCCCATAACGAGACCAAGTTCTGACTTCTTGTCCCTTGGTACTCCCCCAGAAGAGAACAAGAAACTGTGGCCTTTTGAAACCTGTAATGTTAGAATTTGGTGTATGTGCTTACAAGTGTATTATTATTATTATGCCTTCAAATTCAAGCTCTTCAGAGTCTGCCTAATGTATGGCACTCAACTCACTACATGACACTTCATCATACATAACGGGGGTCTGCTGATATTTCTGCCTGCTGATATGCTGCAATATTTCTGCAGGTTTTTAGGGTTTTTTTTCTTTTTTAGTGTTCTTGGTTCTAAACAAAGTCTTCAGTTTTCACTTCAAACACATCTTGAGCATGAGCAGATGGGCAGGAGCAGCGGCTCAGGTGGAACCAGCTCAGGAAAAACACGCTCTCATGGGAGTTTCCCCTCTACTGCTCTAGGACATACGTGCCCTTGAGCTCCACAGTTTGTGTGCTCAACTGCAGGGCATCATGTTTTACCAGGTGTGAAATTTTGATGAGATGCTCTTTTTTTAAATTAAAACATACAACTTCCCTCCTCCAGGTAATTCGAAAGTGAAGTCAACCTTCGGTTGCATTTGGCTATGAGTTGGTTTTATGAATAGCTAGCTACAAAAATAAACAATGAGCTAAAATTAAAATAAGGCGATTGCTTATTAGTTGTAGTTTCCCCTCAAACACCTTCATGCCTTCTTTCCTGCTATCCCTTATTCTTTGGAGGTGGTGCCCATAAAACTCGGCCCAGTCATTGCATTTTTCTTCTTTTGACTTCCTCCTCCTAACTCGACGTGAGCAGTGATGTCTGCCAAAGCCTCAAGCAGGGGCTTGGCGGTAGGCGGCTTGTGACCTGTGCTGCTTCCAGTATCCATTTCATCTTGGCTTTCCCCTGCGTTTGTGCTCTGGGCGCAGCTGTTGCCTCCTGATGGGCTGCACTGGCGGGTCCCTGGGCCGGGAACCATCCTTTTGTGCATGTAGCATCTGGCACATGAAGATCCGCTTGCTCTACTATGGTGCACGTAAATCACTTTTAATCAGTGTTTCTTTCTAACAAAGCATTTTGTGATGGAAAAATAAGGAACAGTAACGCATTAGTGTATTTGTTTACTGAGTTTTTTTTTTTTTTCCTCCATAACTTTGGTGCCAGAAGATTTGTGAAGGAACAATAGCACACTTTGGTTGCATGATCAGCTTCATCAGACACCTTAGAGTTCAAAGTGTTTCAGGCCAAGAGTTGGAGGCTGGAGAAGGGCTGTGAACAGGCAAGCGTGAAAGTTCGCATACTATCTCCGTTAGCCCTAGGATGGTCTGAGAATGTTTTTTAAAAAAAAAAAAAAGACACACAAAAGCAACTGTGCGTATGGACAATTATGTATATTATAATATGGAAAAGCCTGGCCTCAGATGTTACTGATAGTAATTGCAAAGCATGCCATTTTCACACAGTAATTATGTGTTTGTTACAGATTGATGTCCTCAAGGCAGATGTGGAGAGCGCTGAGTGGAAAATTTTGGAAAACCTGATTCTGGAAGATGTTGTTGAGCAGATAGGACAGCTGGTCTTTGAGGTGCACATCCACTGGCCCGGATTTGAGGTCAGTGGCAACGACAGCACTGTGGTGCGGTACTGGTACAGTCTGCTCCGAGAACTGGAGCTGAAGGACTTCAGGCTTTTCCATACCTACAAAGACTTATCAAAACCTCAGCTGTTTCTGAAAAAAGAAGCTTTCAATGCCAGTAGCTGTTACACACTGAGCTGGGTAAATACAAGATGGAAATAGCAGAAAGGGATTTGTGATGTGTGACTGTGAGCCATCTGGCCCAGTAGCATTACTGAAGAGGCCTTTGGAGTCACTGGCTAAAGCTGCTAAATATGCACACAGAGGTTGCTAACAAAATGGACTGACTTTTATTCTTAAGCGTGGTCAAAAGAACTGGTATTAGGAGGAGATACATGTTGCAAATCTTTTTTGTATAGCAATATATTTGCCAGTGGGAACACTTTCTTAGAGGACAGGAGCATTCTGTAAAGGTTTATCTAAGGCAGCTAACAATGGCTTTCCAAGCCTGCCCCGTGCCTGTGCTTTGACTCCTGTCTTACCCTAGCAGAGGGGAGATTCCCCCTCGCCCTGCCCCCCCCAAAAGCTCTGCTCTGTGAGCTGAACCTGCCTTAGTGCAGCATGAGCTAGCATCTGGTTTGAGAAATGCTCATGAGTAAGCTGCTTTCTCAGGAACTTTAGGTAAAGCGTTACATTTCCATAAAATGATCGTACTTTGACTTGCACTGTCTTTAGTTTGACCTTGTTTCCTATGGAACAAATTTTATGCTAGAATGGTACGCTCCTACTGACTCTTGAACCCGCTGGCCAATTTCAGCTGAATTTGGCAGCAGTAGAAATCGCCACCAATCTAAATTCCTACATATTTCATTAAGTTATTCAGTTGAGCAGCTTCTAAGTGCTCTGACATCAGATCTTAAAGGCGCTCTAAGTGCAGGAAATGAGTTCAGCACTTCTCACACACAAGGCGGTGGGACAGTGCTACTCAACTGCCGGTAAAGCTGCCATCAGAGCTCTCCCTCTTAGCCACTAAATAAATCAGCCATAGAAAACAGAGCTTCACTAGTTTGTCTGCTCACAGAACTGCTTGTTTTAAATTACTCTTGCGGTGGCTGCAGCAACTGGTTTTTCTTCTAGTGAAATAATTATTTAAAAGAGCTGTGAAACTTGGGCCTTTTTGGTTGGTTGGTTTTGGGTTTAGTTGAATGTTTTGCAGTGTGTGTGCCTTTTCCAGTGCTGCCTCTGGATGCCTGCTAGCTCCTCACCACATAACTTTCCTGGCCCAGGTTGCCTCTCCCTAACACAAGGAGGCCAAATCCCGGCGTCTGTGCCGATGGCTATAGCGGTGAAGGCCACCTGCCTTCGGAGGCCCAGGAGAGTGCCTTGTGCAGACTTGCTGGGGCACTACAAGTCAGTATGTAAGGTATGTGCAGTGTAATACAGAAGCCAGGCTTGGCCATTCCATGAGAAGCTAAGGAATGTGGAAGCTGAAAAGTATATAGAAGGATCTTTTTTTAGTTTTTAAAGAATTTTGACATTAAACTTTGCATTAAAATACAAGATCACACCACTTCCATGTCTTTGATGTATGCACTTTGTAACTTCCTTTGGTTTCCATCTTCTGCAGGGCTCAGTGCTCCTCCCCTTGGTTTTCCTTGTTGGGGTTTGAACAAGTTTCTCTCTTTCTCTGTCCCTACGTTGTTACGTCTCTTCTAAACCTGGGATTTCCTTCCCTCCCTTCTTTCATACCCTTTTTTCCTTTTTCATGCTCTCCTTCCCTGGGCAGAGCCCTGTGTTGTATCCAGCATGCCGACAGGATCTCAGCAAGCAGCCAGAGGGAAAAAAAGGGCAGGACCTTTCCTTCCGAGCCAGATGAGTCAGCTTTCTCCAGAACTATTACTTTTCCACACAAATACATCAAGCCATTCTCCCCGTGCTTCGCCTCCAGGCAAGGCATCTTCTCCTCTCCTACCTCACTGAGGGCTGCTGATACCCTGGGGCAGGCAGAGACCTTTATCCCCGGTAGAAACTGCTCCAGCCGTTCAGCTCAGCTCTCTTCCTCCCAGAAGAGACCAGCAGGCAGCTGACCCTGCTGTGGTAATAGTCTTCCTCCTACTTTCCTTGCTGCATGGGCACAGGGAGCAGCCTACCTTGGCCCCAAATCCCTGCTCCCCACCCGGACCTGCAAAGCTTGAATGAAGCAGACTTTGAGCATCCCTGTTGTCCACAGAGACCACAGACCTCAGCCTGATGGGGTGAGGTCTGTAAAAACACGCTCTACTTTGAGGGTGATGGACTAAGGTGATGAGGGAGGAGAGTGGAAATGGAGTTTAATCTCTTCAGTGAAAGCCAGCTATGTGCCCTCATGCATTCAGATTGTATCAGCCTTTCGAATCACATTTGAAATTTTAATTTGTGGTTAAATGTTCAACACTCTCTTTTCTAAAAAAATGCACACTGGTTTTCAATTTGCTGCCTTTCAGTCACACTGACAGTGCCTTCTTGTGTTGTATAAAGTCTCTACTTTACTGCCTCTCTGATCCCATTTTTATTTCCTTTAAAAACAAATACATCTACTCTAGTTACGCTAGGTTATTCTGAAGGGGAGTTTAATTCTAAGGGGACTTAACACAGGTTTCTGCATATTAAATACCTAGGTTAGGGGAAAAAAAGAGGATGGTGCAGCCAGATTGGGATTATTAATAGGTGATGATTCCAGCTATGTATGTGCTGGTAAATTAAGCAGTGGCAGGCTGCGTTCAAAGGCTCTGGGCATGGCTACTTGATTAAATTAGCAAGCTCCCTGGCACAATTTTGGCTCAGGCCGTCTAGGAATCTCGCAGACAATTCCCAGGCATAGTCCAGGAGTTTGCACAAGGCAAGGGCAGCTTGGATACAGCCATCCTGTTTTGGAAGCAGAGAGAGTTTAATAACATGGACATGGCCAGACCATGCCGGTTTGTTTCAAAGCTTGGGAATACATCCTGGCACTGTTTCGCTTTCCAGTATAAATGTCGCTCCTATTTCTGTTTCTGCGCTGGGCCAGGCAGTACACAACCCAAGCGAACTGCAACCTTTGAAAATGAGTAGGAAATGCCTTCTCTGTGGCAGCCATGCTTGCCGCAAACCCTTGTACGTTAAGTGGTAAGGTGGTTTAAGAACACAGGCCTTCATTAAAACACAGGAGTTTTTGATTAAAATGCAAGAGAGGGTGCCACATTTCCTAAACCAATATATAGCTTGTTGGAACAAACACGCTTAATCAGAGAATGGCTGAACATCCATTTTTCAAGAAAATTGGGATGGCAAAAGCCCAGGTGCAAGTCCTGATTTATTAATAGAGCATAAAAAATATAGTCTTTAGCACTGCACAGGTTTTTCCTCTTGATTAGCCTTAGAATAAATAGACTGTAGCTTATTATCATTTGTTTCACGCTGGTACTTTAAGAAGTCAGTAGATAGAGGTTAAAAAAATGAACGACACGCTCACTTTCAAATGTTAAAATTCCAAAGGGCTGCAGATGTTTCATCATGTATTGCTCTGAAGAAAAAGTGGTGATATATATGTAAATTATAGAAGTGGACTGAAGTTCTATCCTGATTCTTCCTTGCCTAAGACTTAGAGTGTAGCATTTGCTCAGGATTGCTAAGTAGTGTCAGCAACAATTTAAGCCATGGTAAATACATCTGCTGCAAGGAAAGATTCCAATAACTGTGGAATAATTGTTCAAGAAACCTTATCTAAGATACAGCCTAGATAAAAGCCATTTATCATTTTGAAGGCAGTTATATGGTATTATGGGGGAAAATGAACAGCTCTTATGTTATGCACTAGCTATGTCTTTCTATCTAAAGGCTTTTAAAGCAGAATATAGCCTCCCTTTCTGAGGTCTTGCTTTTGCATCCCTACCCCTTCTGTTTTAACTGACCCTGTTCACCTAAAGGAGCAAATCTTAAATGAATCCAGTTCCTGTCTTTCCCAACCCTTAATGCCTGGACCGTATTTAAAAGAAATTTGGTTGCCATCAAGTTGCCTATGGAATGGTCACAAGGGAGAAGCTGTCCAGATCCAGTTGTCATTCCCCACTTCATATCAGTCATTATAGCCACAGCCTGGAGACCAGTGACGATGTGGCTGTTTCTGGGCAGGAAGAAGGGGCTGCTGGTCGGTGCCAGCATTGCTAAAGTATCCCTGAGCACCCAGTGTGGACAGCATCGAGCACCTTCTGTGGCCAGGGCAATAAAACCTTCTCCTCTTTCTGCTTGGGTTGAGAGATGAACCTCAACAGTCCTGCTGCTGGTGGTGTGGCCTTGAGCATCTAAGGAGGAAAGTCAGCCTCGCACGTCAGGCTCCTCCCGCCACAAGCAGCACTGGAAGGGGCCTGCACCAAAGTGGGGCTGGAGCACCGAGGCCAAATCAACCCAAGTCATCAGGTGTCGACTGGGCAACTTTCATCTCTGGCCTGACCTTCCAGCATCTTGCTCAGCAGTATGCTTGCACAGGACCCTAAGCTGTATTTCCGTAGTGTGCCATGTACCAAGTCCTCCTCCTAGCACCTTCAGCCAGCCTGGATCCGCTCAGTGTCACAGTTAACGTGTATTGCCTGGCTCTGCGCTCCTCAAAGGCTTCTGCCCCTCTGCTCCCAGCTGTCTTGGACATTTCCTGGAGTCCTCTGCTTGCAGGCATTTGCATCAGCTCTCCAGAGCTGCCAGCCCATTGCCTCCCTCCTGGCTCTAGGTGAAGCCTTGTCCACCGTGAGGTAACTGCTGAGCCTTGAAATCAAATTTTTGAGGCTACTCAATTCCTCTCCCTCCTCTCCTGTGCCTCTGGGCTGGCTGCAATGGCAAGGGTGCTGTTTTGCTGCTTGTTGCACCAGCTGATGATTTTTTATAAGACAGCAGACACCTGATATCCTCTGCATCTGGCCCAAAAGGGGTTCAGCATTCCCAGACCCTGCATGTTACTGCCCCGTGAGCTGAAGTTGGCTCCCCAAACTACCCAGGTTTGAGAGGTTGCAGGAGGCAGCTGTTTCCGGCTCATCCCTCACTAGGCTGTCCCAGAGCAACGCACGTGTCTTCTGACCTGAGGCTCTTGTTCATCACTCTTAGTCATCACTTGGAGTTTATTGGAGTGAACCCAGCAGGCCCGCCCCTCCTCCAGTCAGCTGCGTCCCACCCAGCATGAGAGCCTCCTTCCCACCTTCATTTTGGTTTTTCTGATAACAATTTTATCCTAAGCCCTCTCTGGTAAGACAGAGCAGAACAAGGCTGTGCAGTGGTTTAAATTGTTTCCTTCTGGCACCCTGACCTGACTGTTACCAGGAGGGGAGAGCAGCATCCTACCCCACTGTCCCCTGGGGCCAAGCTGCTCACTGTCGCGCTGCAGAAAGGCAACACACCCTGCTTGGCTTTTTTACGAAGGGACAGAAGTAAGTCTGAGTTACCTGTCTGGTTTCAAGGTATATGAGAAAAATGGGATCTTACTGATATACTGGGGTGGTCATGTGTGGTGGCCATTGCTAGTTCCAACCCCAGCTAGCAAGGACATAATCAACAGGTCTCTTCCCTTACGTGGGAGTTGTTACTGGATTATTTTGACACCTCCACTAGGAGCTGTTTCAGCTCATTCTAAAATTAATCTTTGCAGAGATGATCTGCATGCGGTGGCAGTTTTATTTGCATAGATCCTTCCTGAAGCTTTTGCTGGAGCTGGACTATTTACCTTTCAGAGAGGCCCACAGTGATTTATAGAACACGTAAATCGATGATTTAGAATATACAGTTGTTATTAGTCTGTGACTTGGTGAAAATGAGGAGCAGAGATGCATTTTAATCCCCCAAACTAACACAATTAAGACCCGATACTGCAACATGAGCCTTCCCCAGAGAATCCATTGCAGCACTGAGGGGGACAGGTTAGGATGCTAACACAGCTCTCTGAAGAAAGTGATCCCTTTTCTGAATGCCAGTTGGTTTCTTTGGAGGTCTCAAAACTTGACCAAATGAGATAAGGGCATTTCTGATTTCCTGTCCCACTCCAAAACCTCAAGATTATTGCATGCATTTATGGACCCAGGCTTTGATCACATCTGTGAATCGTGATGGGTTGTTCTTCACTAGCAGGAGGAGCACCTCTCAATCTGTGAAAGATCAAAGAAAACATAAAAGAAACATATGCCTGGCTTTTCTTGGCAGATGCCAACAAGACGTATCACCTAGCAGCACACCTGAAGAAAAAGCACTCATTCTCTCTGGTGAATTATTCAACAGCTGAGACCATCTGTTTTATTCAAAAACTTTGATTTTGTGAGCTTCATTAGATGCTCCCTTGCCCTTGAAAGGATCCTCAGGGTTACTTAGTAGGAAATCACTCTTGAGTTCTTCCTGCTTGTTAACACAATGTGACATTTAATTGCAGTCAGTATAAACCTGCTTTGGTGATGGTGAAAATTCAGAGCTGACCTACATTCAGAGAGATTTTTATGCTTCTCTCTCTCCACTGGCTCGCATGGGCAGTATCTGAAGAATAAGCCTGGCACCTGAGAATCACCCAGGATAATGAATAGA